ATGACGATGATGAAGCTTGAAGTTTCCGAAGGTTGTTTGTTGGTTGCGTGTTCAGATCACGTCGGATGGTCACCACTGTGGCCGGTGAGGAAGGAAAAGGGGAGATCTCCCGCCGGGCAAGGTGTTCTGCCCGGGGAGCGGCCAATGCTCCATGTGATAGTTCGGAGATGTTCTATATATACTGTTTCTGATTCGGAATGTTGATAGCGTGATTTAGACTTCGGTGTATTTCGATTGTGGCGCGACGACAGCGCCGCTACACATTTTTTACCAATTCTCTTGGTTCTTACTTGAGCAGACCTGGAGTCTTTCACCACACTTGGAACCGAGGTTGCAGCAGATGTGGCTTGAGTCACCGATTCAGAGGTCGAGATAGCATCAAGATCAAGCCTAGAGTGGATACGATGGCGTACTTGATCAGGTCCTATTACGAAGATGATGCCAACCCTCGTCCACCACCTTGAAACTCCGAAACGTTGACGCGCCGCTTGGAATGTAGTATGGTGACCCTTTGTAAGAAATTCGGACTATGTAATCCCAGTGCCTTTCAAATTTTTCTTTGCAAGCCATATCTTCTCTTTTGTCCCATAGTCTCTAAATTCTACAAGCACAGCCTGGGGTTTATCAGTGCCAGGTTGACCAAGACGATGTGACCGGCCTATCGAATCAGTGGTAATACCAGGGGCTTTCAAGTGGTCGGATAGAACCTTGACAACACTAGAGGATGTGTTCTCTTTCTTGTCTTCGGCTATACCATGAACAAGCAGGATTTTCTTCGAGATCTCATCTCCATGTTATCATTTTGTTGAGCTAATAGTTCAACTTCCAATTGCAAATTTTCTAAAGCAGTTAAAACAAAGCACCGGAATGAATGAAATTGGTGATTAATATTTGAAGTGGGGCTTGTTGCTGGAATTGAACTCTTTAGATCTTTTTGTAACTCGGCCATCCTTAAGTTGAAATGTTCAGTGAGGTCCGCAACAGATTTCTTAATTGACTCCATTTGATTTTTAAGGTTATAACAATGTGGTAGTGAAGTGAATGTGCTAAAGAGTTCAAGTTATTCTAAATATATTTCAGACTTCACTGGCAGGAGTTTATATATCACAAGAACATTAAATTTATATTCAAAAGTCCCTAGATATAATATTATACAAATTAAAGATTTCAGTGTATTAAAATATGTCTAACTTAATCAACTCCTACCCGCGAAAAAAAAGATATGTGTTAACCTGATCTAGATTGTTTGTCACTTTTGAGTAGATACGCACCGAGATTTTACATTTTTCATGTACATAACTTTATTATAATGAGCGCTATGGACCGTCAGATAACAATAAAACGGGTATTTGCACATATCGAAAACAGCCCACCCCACATGTCGATCACCTCGTGAGCCAGGTCCAGATATTTTGTTTCCTTATCTGATTCGGCTTTCAACAGGTTCTCGTCATAATATGGAATGGTAATGCGAACCAAAAATATCCTTGACTGTGCCCAGCCCATCACCACAATATCAGGTTCATTCGCAAGAATAGTTATGTCTGTGATGATGGCCCGGTCCCAGTAGAGCCTGGCGCGGTCATTTTCGAGCACGGCTTTCGACAAGTACTTATAATAAGGCAGTTTGAGATCCACGAGACCGTATTTCAGAGCGAGCTCCTGGTGTAGAATCCTGGCTACTAGGTTGTGCCTGTGCAAGTACTCAGAGTTAGAAAGCGCCGACCAACCGAAGATGACATGTCTAAGTGACTCACCGGGATGGCGACAAGCTCGACAGAAGTGCCATCCTTTAGGATGTGTCTCCGATAGTTTTTGGTCTTAATAATCTGATCCTGTATTGCACAGACAAAACCCTCGGTTTCTTCGAAGAGGTCATCAAAGCGTAGCCAGTGGAGGGAGACGATTGTATCTACGAAGGGCTCACGGAGAGGCCTGTAGTACCTCTCGTGGAGCTCCTTCTCCTTCCATACGGTTTCCCGGTCGGAAATGCTATGTACTGCTGGATCCTACCACTTGCCTTGCCTGCTCCTTGGCTAAGGATAGAGGGGTAAGTCCCTTATCACAAGAAGTGACGTCATTATAGAATGGATCATCCGATCTCGCCAGGAAGTAATGACGGAGCCTGCACACTTCGCGATTATGCATGGTGAGGCATGGGCCATATCCAAGATAGCCTGATGATGAATTTGTGTTTACAAGACTTTGTAAATTTGTAAAGTTTGTGTAAATATGATCAATTTATTATTTCAAGGGAATAAATTCACATTGGGACTGCAAAATTATTAATCCCCTTAGTGAGTTTGCGTGAGTTTAATTGAGAAATTACTCCCCCTGAATGGGATCGTAGCCCCTAAGGTAGACTCTAGCAATACTTTACAGTGAGCCGCTTGCCATTTTCGTTTTGCCTCTTTATTGCATAAACTTTTCACTATACAAATGGCATAAATTGCAATATTTTCTATACAAAACTAATTGCTACACTAACATGTTATACATCATTAAATCGATAGTCTGGTACTTTATTAGTATATTATAAAGGTTCCTCAAAACATTAACATTCTAAAAAGTTATTAAACGAAATGTCCCAAATTTTCATAATATTTGGGTATTTTAATTCTTTAATTTTTATATAACTACGAAATGCATTTAATTATAAAAAATATTCTTATACTTCTTTAATCTATAAGCCATATGCTAATTAAATGTCATATTTATAACTCTTTTGGAACATAAAATTATTTTCATTATTTTTGATATAAACTATTACGCAGTTAATTAAAAAACTTCTAGAGAGTTCTACGATAAGACGCGCTGTGATTGGTCGATTTTTCTTAATATAATAAAAGTTGTTTATATTACTTGTTATCAAAACTACATTCTATACAAACATACTAAGAGTTATAAATATGCTAAACAACTATATTAATACACGTTTTCACTCAGTTTTCTTGGTAATTTCACTATTAATACATAAAACAATATTCTTTATCACTTTGTTTTTTAAGGTTGTTAGGCCGTCGCGAATAAATATAATAATAAATAAAGTTTATATCCTTTTTATATCTTACTAGCTTTTATCCGGTGCTATGCTACCACAAAAGATATAATTTGGAAGAGTTATATTGTTTAGTTAGGAATGATAATACAATCATTGAAATTTCATGATCTATAATTTTTAAATATATAATTGGTACGATATGCGCGCCACCAAGTGTAAATTAATTATACTATGCCTATCTGGGGACACGGCAGTGCCCCCGCCAAGTCGAGCAAAAAAGCGGCACGGCCGTACTATACTTTTCTCGAAGCAGTTCAGGCCATTTCCGACCACCCTATAACTTTGTTGTGGATAAAACTAGAAGCCTGAATTTTCAGTAACCAAGTAGGCATTATATAAACATGGTATATTTCAAATTTCATTTAATCTGCAACAGTAGTTTAAGAATTATAACTAGTCAAAGTTTCTTAATTTTGTCACTCACTGACTGACTGACCGATCATAAAAACTCTGAGGAACTTCTAGCAAACATAGAAGCTTCAAATTAAATATTCAAATTAAATAAATTAACAGTTTTCCATAAATACCGACTGCATGAATAATTTTGTAATCCCATATAAATATATAGGATTACAAAGTTACATTTGCAGTGAATGAATCGGTGTATCTGTATATTTATAATATAATGGAATAAAAGGTGGTGATAGGTACGTTGTTGGTATTCAAGAAGTAGAAAGTACCGGAAAAGAAAAAAAGCAGGTCTATCTACAAAAAGAAATTAAATGCCATCAAAAATCTAACTTGTAAAAAAAAACAAGTTTCACAACTCAGTTCTTCTACCGTAAAAAGTTGTGAGATCCATGTTATACCAAGTCGCTTAATTTATTCAGTCCCTACTTAAGTAAGGGTCCTTCTGATTTAAGTTAAATACTAACCTAAACTCTTATATTACCATATCAATGTTAAAAATCTTTTATGTTTTAAATATATAGATTAACTTGGCAATCGCACTAAGCAATCTAATTTAAAACAATATGTATTAATTGTGATATACATTGTGTTTTCATGCGATGGCCAAGTCAATCTATAGATTACGACCCCCACTAGATGGAGTGAAGACCTAGTAAGACATGTAGGAAGTCGATGGATGCAAGTGGCTCAGGACTATGCTTTGCGGCATTCCTTGGGGGAGGCATATGTTCAGTAGTGGACTTGTGAAGGGCTGTCATGATGATGATGATGATGATTACTGGCATAAATTAAAAGCTTTCAAATGGTTATTAACTAATAATTTATATTAAAGTAAGCCTCGCCATAGAATAATATAAATGTATGTTAATTGATAGAATCAGGCGTTACTTTGCGGAAATCCATTATAATAAATAATTTATTACTTTGCAACTTTCCGCTAACTAATTGCAATGATGTGTATTACCTACCTGGGTTGAAGAGCACCTCCCGCCCTCCCTCAATTGCATGCACTAACTCCATAGGCTCGTCATTCTAGGAGGGCGGGAGGTGCTCTTCAATCCAGGTAAGACACATCATTGTAATTAGTTAGCGGAAGGTTGCAAAGTAATAAATTATTTATTATAAATGTATGTCTTAGATACTTACGAAAGCTATCAAAAATCAGAGCAATAAATATAGGGATTAAAAAAATTATAAGGTTTTTGTAAGTTTAAGCTGAACATTACAGTTTTTTAACTGAACTTTAGTAGTCATTTCGGTCATTTATGTTATTTTATATAATTATATAATTCTAGTAATAATATTAAATAAAGGGAATATTATTAGTTAAGATGGAAACATTAAATAGATACGCCACCAGTCGCACGCAGTTATCTTGCGCGCACTATAGTCTGTGGTTAGAGTCCGCGGACTCAAACCTTATTAGTCTGTGCCTGACGCTTGACGCGACGTAACGCGTGAAATGCTTAATTCTAAACCAAATAAATATGCCTTCATGTGCTTTGAGGTACTGTGTAAATCATTCCAGAAGAACAAGTAAAGGACAAGGAGTGACTTTTCACACGTAAGTATTCTGTTCTAAACAAAAACACAATTCAATTGTACCTATTTAATTTTATTGCTACTCGTAGCGACACACAAACTAATAAGAAGTAAGTATTCTGTTCTCAATAAAACACACGTAATTCAATTGTATTTAATTTTATTGCTACTCGTAGTGATACACAAACCAATAAATAAGAAGTATTAGCGCATGGCATGGGGGTTATGTTTTGGTCAAAGAGTATGTAACATGTAGGTCACATTTAGTTTTAGTAAAATACATAGAGTAACTTAAATTTTCGACGCAGATATGACACCATTGACTAATCACTACGTTTTAGTTGTAGTGTTAAGACTACATCACTACCACAAATTAATAGGAGTACTAACGTAATCACTACTAATATAATCATTACAATAAAGTATGTTATACCATTGAAATGCAAATGTTACCCGGCGACGTAAAGCGAAAAGGTTCGTTATAAAGTTGTAACATTTCATCCTCAAATTTTAAACAGCTTTTAAGTCTTTTTAATATTCTCGTAATTATTACTTATAATGATATGGATTTTTAGATTTCCTGGGCCAGATCATGATAAAAGAGAGTCATGGATTCAATTCATTCGGAAGAATCGCAGTGAAGAAAAGTGGTTACCTTCAAAATATTCACGCATATGTTCCGCACACTTCAAAGAAGATGATAAATACATCACAAAAACAGGACGAGTTTATTTGAAGAAATCGGCAGTACCATGCGATAACGTAAGAATTTTTATGTACATATTTTCAACGAAATAAAATCTACTTAGTCGAAATGTATTTTTCTACAAATATTTATTAATTTAATTTGAAATACACTGTAATGTATATAGGCGGATTTAATGCCTGACACGTTTCAAGGGTATAATATATAAATTTCCGAAATAATTTTGTTTCTGCGAGTTTGGCTATCGCTTTTTGATTTAAGACATCCAAGTTATTTAATTGTAACTTTTTTTATAGCCAACAAAATCTCCACAACCAGAAGTGTTGGAACCATTGTCTGAATCAGTGAGCAGTTCGGATTCAATTTTCGATTCGCCGAAAAAAAATGTACGTAAACAATACATACGCAAAGAATCTGCTACTAAACAAAAACTTTTAGAACAAATTAGGAAAATACAGAGACAAAACATTAATCTCAAGAGAAGATGTGCCTTCTACAGATCAATTGTGCAAAACTTAAGAGAAAAATTTAGTCTGGATTTAAAAACTCGGAATGATCTAAAAGCTAAAGAGGAAGTTGTCGACTTAAAACAAAAATAAACGAATCAATCATTAGAAATAAACATAGAAATGGTGTTTTTTATTTATTTTTCATTAGTTCGAAAAATACCTGATTAGAAAGAGGAAAGAACTTAGGAAGAAAAAATAACAGTTTACGTTAATATATTTATATCACGCAATTAACTATACAAATCATAATAGAAAGAGCTTGGTATCGATTTCCTCATTGCCAGAGGTTATTATCATCTATAAATTCCACAATATTATAATAACCCTTTTATAAAAGGCATTCCATCTTAGTCCTCAGGGGTGACAACGCATCTGTGTTTTTATTCTTAATCGAGGATAAATGAAATGTCTATGGGCCACAGCTTCCACTTACCATCAGGTAAACTGTGTGCTCGTTTGTCACCCTTATTCTAAAAAAAATTCAGTCTTATTTAAAGTGGTGCATTTGTGTATTTTGCGTATAAGGCCGGCCAAATACATACGGAATTCCGATCGCAGCAAGTCCATATATAATCAAGATCCCATCACACATTCACGCTACGGTAGTTTCCCGTCCGTTCGAAATTTTGCGGCCAAAACGGGATTCCGTATATGTGTGGCCAACCCGTTCGTTCAGTTTCGGAATTCCGTATGGTGCGTGTGGCGGGCCTAAATGTCTGTGCATGTGGAACAATGTTATAAATTCTTCGAAGGTAATATAAATCTCAAGTTTTATTCGCTTTGTGACTTGAGATACTAACATCATCAATATACTGCTGGGTTAAGCTGTCGTCAAAACTTTTAAAAAACTGCAACAGATCAGTATAATAAGCACAATTTTGTGAATAAAATACTTTAAATCTGATTAAGCTGTATGGTCTTAGATCTTTGTCTGTCTGAATTGGCAAATCATAAAAACAAATTAAATAAACATGTCATCGAAAATTTAGATTTTGGGTACGAAATTTGGGTTTTCTGGTAAATGCAATATTTTCTACTATTTGTTACATTAAGTTATGTATGTTTATTTTATATATCTAAAAAGGTTTCCAGGAAGTCTTATCAATCGATTAGAATAATATTCACTCGAATAGATGTATGTTAAAAGTTCACATTTTGTAATTCGTGATGGCCAAAATAAAGAAATTATCAGGCTCTTTCCGCTATACACAATGGGATCCGTGTTTAATCTCATCTCAAATAGTGGCAATGCAGTTTCTCCTCTACCTCACATTGTGCCTGCTCATCGCTGTAATGCAAGATATAACAGGATCTACTCGCACATTAGATCATATATTCGAGTATCATGTAAGTTCTAAATTTTTTGCTCAATCTCATATCTTTTTTTAGGTTTATATATTTTAATTTAATGTTTCAGGAAATACATGTTAGAGACAGTGAAGGTCGCGCTGTGATATTTGCTTTTGTAATCAATGCTCTTATAGGTGCATTGATACTTTGGAATGTTGTAGGCAGAACCAAATTGTGCCTGGACTTTAGGTAAGATTTTATTGTATAACAACAGAAATTTTTATGGATTTTTTTTAATAACATTTAACTGATTTGTTCATCTCATATTGTTCACACCTTAAAGCTACTTTACTTAACATCATTATGACCTGGATTACAACTTTTATAATACAATGAAATTATTCATAAAATTTTTCAAATTTATTCTTTCTTGCATAATAACATTTTCATTTATAAACTGCACTTATTAATTCTATTGCATTTATTTATTGTTGCTCAATCAAGATTTCTTATCTTCATTATCATCATCATTACAGCCGTTCACAAGTCTACTATTGAACATCGGCCTCCCCCAAGGAATGCCGCAAAGCATAGTCCTGAGCCACTTGCATCCATCGACTTCCTGTGTGCTTTCCAAATCGTCACTTCATCTAGTAGGGAGGCCGCCCCACACTTCATCTACCGATAAGAGGCTGCCACTCAAAAACCTTTCCTTCCCATCAGTTGTTACTTCTTCAAGGTATATGGCCAGCCATTGCCACTTCAGCTTACTGATCTGATCAACTTATTAATTAGATCTCTTATACCAACTAGCTTAAAGCCTTCTTAGGCCTTAGGCCTTGGCAATTTGATCTGTTTACAGATGTAAAGAAGGTAATTTCATTAAAAGCTTGCAGTTCTGAGATGATGAGATATGACATGAATGTTTTATGAACTATTAAACATATACAGCCTTACTTTCTTTTATAAAGAATAAGGATAACAAACAAGTACACAATCCACCAGGTGGTAAGAGGATGGTGCAGCCCGTGGACATCTACATCTATCCACGATTAAGAAACAAAAGGCTGGATGAAGACCTGTGGACTAAGGTGGAATGCCTCGTTTCCAGTAAAAACAGTCACCAGTTACCATATGAAACACAGAGGCATTGAGCTACTATTGTGCTACAACCATTACACAGCTGCAGCATGGCTTTACTATATATAATTGTTGATTATCACTTATTTACATTATTTCTCAATAAACTCTATACTTGTCTCTTTCTATTCTCATTAAGTGAAAAGAGATAAAGCAACATTAAACATTTCTTAAATTTATAAGTAAGACAAAATTTTTACTGTTAATTTTTCAATATTCAACTTGAATAAATCTGATTTGGATTATGAGATTGTACTCAATACTCAGTTTAATTATGTTGTTATGTTACTAAATTAATTAGTGCATCTGGTTATTAACTAATTAAAAATATTAACAAATATAGACTCTTGTTCAGTAACACTTTTGATATAGACTATAAAACTCCTTCAATATCTCAATGCAAACTTCAATATTTGTGTTGGTGTGAATAAATACTATTCTTATTAAGTCTGTTTGAAAATTATTGCAGTAGAGATGTAAAGATAAAAAATTTGTAATTTTCTTTTACAGTTGCACTTTCTATGGCATTCACTTAATAGCCTGCTGGGTGTACAATGGCACATTCCCAACAACATTCTCCTGGTGGATGCTCAACATTGCCTGTACGGCAATCACCTGTGTTACTGCAGAGTTTCTCTGCCTTCGAACTGAACTTCAAGCTATACCACTCAGCAATATTGGTGCTAAAGTTGATTTATGAAACTTAGCAACAAGTTCTATTGGACTAATTACTGCTTTAGGCGCAGTGCAAACATAGACACTTTTTGTTATCGACAGCACACCATCACAGGAAACCATAGTTAATGTGTCGAGTAGTGGCAAGGGGACCCAGTCGCCGGTTGCTACTTTTGATCACTAAGACACCGGTAACAATTTATTCTTTGGGTGTCAATGAAGAAACATTACCTTTGCTTATTGTGTTGATTATCGACGTAAATGTCGTGCCATCAATTTTTATTAATGTTGCTTTATCTTCAACTGATGATTTTTAGTTTCCAGTTACCTATAACAAACCCTTTTTTGATTGGCAATTGGTATATGTCTAATGGAAACAATTGGACACGAAAAGTGTCTGCATCTGCGCAGGGAGTAGCTGATTTCATATTGATTAAAATAAAAAAATATATAAAATATTCACTGGTAGCTTGTATCCCACACAAGACACAAGTGTCCACATTTGCGCACAGCCTTATAGATCCAAGGGTAAAAGATAAACAAAATTCAAAACAATGCTTGTTATGTAATTTGAAAATTATCAAGACTGTGTGACAAGTTAAGTGCTTAGGAAGTTAAATATTTGGAACCTTATAAAAACATATATCATCATCATCATCATCCTTACAACCGTTCACAAGTCCACTGCTGAACATAGGCCTCCCCCAAGTAATGCCACAAAGCACGGTCCTGAGCCACCTGCATCCATCGACTTCCTGTATGTCTTATCAGGTCGTCACTCCATCTAGTGGGGGGTCGCCCTACACTACGCCTACCAGTACGAGGCTGTCACTCGAGAACCTTTCTTCCCCATCGGTTATCAGTTCTTCGAGCTATATGGCCGGCCCATTGCCACTTCAGCTTACTAATCCGTTGGGCTATGTTGGTCACTCTGGTTTTACTGCAAATATCCTCATTTCTGAGTATCACGCAGAGAAACTCCAAGCATAGCCCTCTCCATAGCTCGCTGAGCGACCTTGAGCATTCTCATACGGCCAGCAGTGAAGGACCACATCTCAGATCTGAGAAACCCATATAGTAGTAAATATATATATATATATATATATATATATATATATATATATATATATATATATATATTGGGTGAGTTAGAAATCTAGTTTTTGATATTGACAATACTGCTAATAACAACAGTATAATTCAACATAATATGAATGGGCCAGCGATCTTATACTAAATTTAAAAAATTTCTAAGTGATTGAACATTGTATTGATATTTATACCAATTAACTCATAATTAAGTAAATCGACATTCAAGTTGCAGTAATCCATGTGTCACAAAAACTTACACCTCAACATTAATTTGCACGTTGACAACTTTAAATATATCTAGTATATTTTAATGTCGTACTTCTTAATCACCCCATAACAGTTAATTGTTGAACATCGCCAAATTTAGTACATTTTTATTTTATTTTATGGAATAAGTGTGACTACCAAGCACACAGTCCATCTAAACCATATCATACAACTTTTGATCTTACCTCTCCGATGTCTGAGTTATAAAGCAGGTACAGTATACTGTCACCTATCAAAGAACAAATCCGGTCTTCTTTTAGTTTGGTCCTTGTAAAAGGCTATTATGGACAAGGTTAAAAGCCTTTAGAACATTTTAAAAATAAAAATTTAGGCTTTAGGATATGAATCACAATAATTTTAAAAATGGCCCATTTTTATACAATTCTTATAAGGTTCATGAAATAAATACACATTAATGTTTTAATATTTTGTAATAAATGATTAGAGTTTTTGGAAGTTTACTTTTTACATAGTTTGAAAGTTAAACATTTAAAATTTTTACCTGGGTACCAGTTCTTTGCAATTATTGACTTTATTAGTAAGCATACAGAATCCTTAGTTGGTTGTGTTCTTTTTATTTTAATTATTTAGGGCAAAACTACATTTTATAACACTTCAGGTATTATTTCTAATAATTTTAATAAGATGTAAATTAAATTATTAAAATGTGTAATAAATTTAAAAATTGATCTAAATGTATTTAATATTAAGACATAATTTAATATATGTTTTTATTTACAAATCTTAAAAATATACAATATATGTTGTAACAATGAAAACAAACTAAAATTATCAAGCAGTTCGGACTCCCTGTGTTACAGTGCTAAGAATGGTGACTGTTTCCTTGCCAAATGGCTACATTTCTTTGTGTGAGAAAAGAACCAGCCAAGAGGGCTGGTCACCATTTATTATATTTTATCAATTTTGATTTAATATTAAATAAGAACAAAAATTATTTCTAATTTAAAATCGTAAAATAGGCAGTTTTGGCATAAAGATTCGCAATACGGAATGGCGTGATCTTTATTGCACATTGGGCATTTTTGCTTCGGTGCGGACGCTAACCTACTTTTATTATTGAAATTATTTGATTTAAATGACGGATTTTGATTGCTCGTGAATGCTTTGAAAACTAATGATTTTTTGAAATTAGATGGTTGAGATGATTGTTGCGGCTGTGTGTGTATACCATGCTCTCCAGTTGCTCAGGATCAGACGCGGAGCATCCGCTGCAAATTTCGATGTCTTTTGGTTGATTGGATAGGTGGTCGGTGTGTTTAGGTCGATCGTGTCCTCATCCCCGCTGCTGTGTGTGCACACCTTGCTCTCCAGTTGCTCAGGATCAGACGCGGAGCATCCGCTGCAAATTTCGATGTCTTTTGGTTGATTGGATAGGTGGTAGGTATGTTTAGGTCGATCGTGTCCTCATCCCCGCTGCTGTGTGTGCACACCATACTCTCCAGTTTCTCAGGATCAGACGACGAAACGTCCGCTGCAAATTTTGATGTCTTTTGGTTGATTGGAGAGGTGGTAGGTGTGTTTAGGTCGATCATGTCCTCATCCCCGCTGCTGTGTGTGCACACCATGCTCTCCAGTTGCTCAGGATCAGACGCGGAGCATCCGCTGCAAATTTCGATGTCTTTTGGTTGTTTGAAGAGGTGGTCGGTGTGTTTAGGTCGATCGTGTCCTCATCCCCGCTGCTGTGTGTGCACACCATGCTCTCCAGTTGCTCAGGATCAGACGCGGAACGTCCGCTGCAAATTTTGATGTCTTTTGGTTGTTTGAAGAGGTGGTCGGTGTGTTTAGGTCGATCGTGTCCTCATCCCCGCTGCTGTGTGTGCACACCATGATCTCCAGTTGCTCAGGATCAGACGCGGAGCATCCGCCGCAAATTTCGATGTCTTTTGGTTGATTGGAGAGGTGGTAGGTGTGTTTAGGTCGATCGTGTCCTCATCCCCGCTGCTGTGTGTGCACACCATGCTCTCCAGTTGCTCAGGATCAGACGCGGAGCATCCGCTGCAAATTTCGATGTCTTTTGGTTGATTGGATAGGTGGTCGGTGTGTTTAGGTCGATCGTGTCCTCATCCCCGCTGCTGTGTGTGCACACCATGATCTCCAGTTGCTCAGGATCAGACGCGGAGCATCCGCTGCAAATTTTGATGTCTTTTGGTTGATTGGAGAGGTGATAGGTGTGTTTAGGTCGATCGTGTCCTCATCCCCGCTGCTGTGTGTGCACACCATGCTCTCCAGTTGCTCAGGATCAGACGCGGAGCGTCCGCTGCAAATATTCGAATATTATTATAGTTCATTACTGGAAATACAAATTAAGAATTAAGAGCTATAACACCGTTTTCCCAAGCTATGCTATCTTGAAGTAGTTTTTTTTAACTAAAAAGGTATTGGTCACATATTTCTATCTCTTCTTCGAGAATGTTTAACTTGTAGTCAAGGAATCTTAAAATACAACCAAAAAAGCATGGTTTGTAATTATTATCTTGTATGAATTATAAAACCAATAAACAATTTTTAATTAGCCTTGTTAAAGTTGTTAACAGATCAATATATTATTACATTAATATTGACTACCTCTCATTGGTCGTAGTCTACAGCGCGACTGCTGATTATGTGGTCCCGGATTCTAATCCAGAGTAGGACCAAAATTAGATATTGGGCTTTTTTGTAAGAAATTCTCGGTTGGCTTTGTGTCACGCCCGAGCCTCGTAAAAGCACGTGATGGTCCTTCGCATTATCTCTATCGCGTTGTCTCATATTGCTGGCCCATCGAACTATAGAGTAAGAGAACAACTGTGCTTGCGCATACACTCGGTCACCGTAATCCTGTACTGCGCGACCATAACCGAAATTTGGAATGGAGGATGTTATTAGATTATTTGTTATACTGATGTTAATTGTTATATTTCTGTTAAATGAATATTGGCTTTAATTAACCATTAAAGAACAAGACCTTTCCTAGTTTCGTCTAAGTTTGTACCACTCTTGTTTATTTCTGCCATCAAGCATCTACATACCTATTATGATTTGTTCAAGTTTAAAGGTCACGGAGAGCCAGTATAATTACGGGCTAAGGAACATTTAATCTTTGATTGTATTTGGTTGCAAGTATCCATGGCTTTCAGTAACCACTTACTATCAAGTAGACAGTGAGCTCATATGTCGCCCTTATGAAAAAAATGACATTGTTAAATTGTTAATTTTGTTCATATACCCTTTTAAGTCTCTAGTATAGTCTTTTTCACGAAGAAAATACATTAGGCGCTGTGCCACCATACTGCGATATTTGACATCGCCATACATTTTAGGGCTTATTTTCCATCGAGCATTTAACCTGAAATAGAGCGGTATTGTTATTTGTTTTGTAAGAAAACAAATTCCGCCAAAACGCTGCGCCGGTCGCTGCGCTCTGATTGGCCGACGGCACTAGTAAACACGTAATAAATAAAATGAGATGGCTTATATTGGTTACACCTAGGTAAGAGCAAGAGGCATAGACAAGCGTCCAAGTGATTCATACTAATGGCCAGTTTAACTTGAGCCGTATTATGTGGATGTAAATTAAAACAAAATCAAAGTTTATTGATACTTACCGATGAAACGTGATTCCGTATGTTTTATAATTCGATGTCTTGCTGTTTTTTCCACACCACCGAATAGAACAACACGACATTATGGGGTTTAATATACCAAACTGAATATTTTCGGGAGTATCGGGGGGACGTACACACAGATCACATGTTGGTGAGGTACTGTTTTAGGGCGAGCGTGAATTGCCATTTATCAGTGACAAATCACTGATCAGTTTCGGAATTGGATGGCTCACATTACTACTCTATTCAGGTTAAATGCTCGATGTTATTTTCCGAGGTACCTCTTTCTTGATACAGATTAATAGGTAATAGTAATCCATGTTTTCAACTATTCATTTGTAGGTTTTTTTTTTACTACGCACTTCTAAACTTCCAGTGACGTATGTACAGATATTGCGAAAATAGTAATGTACAACATTTGACATGTTTCGTAATTTTGTAATTACTGTAAATAAATATTTAATTACATTTTGTTTTGTATGCTTTTCGCCATTGCGTATGAAATATGAGAGGGGGAATATTCCCCCTCTCATATTTCTTGAATCTGTCTTGAAGTCGATTTTTATAAAAAATGTATTAAAAATAAAACGTAAGTCACACAGACAAGTGCTGATATACCACATGATTACCGCTTGAAAACATCGTGAGGAAAATGCTCTGAGGAATTTTTATTTGAGGAAATGTGAAGTCTGGCAACACGCACTGGGTTTAGCATGGGCAGATTCTTCCCAGCTCCAAACTTAAGTAAGGAATAGAGGCTTGTAGTCGGTATCTTTGAGAAGATAGTAGAATAGAATATTAGTGTGAAGTACTGTGTTTCGAATAGTGAATGACAAGAATTGGAGACTTAACTGATAGCGAAGACTTCCATCTTAGACCTCAAGGGTGACAACACATATGCAATTTGATTCTCAATTGAGAATATGTTAGTGTCTTCGGGCCACAGCATCCACTTACTACCAGGTACCTCAAACATCATTATCGTCATTACATATTTTCACAAGTCCACGGCTGAACATATGCCTCCCACAAGGAATGCCACAAAACACGGTCCTGAGCCACCTGCAGTATACTTCGCTTTCCGGTATATGGCTGCCAGTTGACAGAACCGTTCTTAGGAATGTTTGCAAGAAATCTGCAAACGCCAATCCAATTACTAAGTGTGGTCAAACTCTCCCTTTCGTATGTTAACACGTCAAGCAAAATTCAGTGTATAATTTTTACAGTACATTGACAGTAAGTTACCCTCTTGGCTTTATTGAGGTGTGTGGAATTTAAAACGCTGCAAATTTCAAACGCGTTTTTAAAATTGCTGGGACTGAATAAAACCATTATTTACGGATTTTATCGTTCGTTGCGTAAATCGGACCAAAAATTAATATTCAAAAACTGAAGGTAGCCGTCAACATCTCAGTAACCCCCCCCCCCCCGTGACCATGAGTACTGTAAACTTAGACAGAGAAACCTTTAGACAAATTGACGCCTTCTTTCGCATTCGCACACGAAACAGATAGATTTATGCATACGTCGTGCATAGAAATAAGACGAAGCGGTGTGATTGTTTGTCCCTTCTTCATGTCAAGTTTTTTGTTTAGCAAATTACACTTTGCTACACAACTTTGACAGTTCATAGCGATCTAAGGAGTCTACAAGTTGGTTTAAGTGAGAAAAAAGTGTTTTGTGAGCTTAAGATTGGTGAATCTTGTTCAGTTCAGTTCTTAGAGCAATTAAATTTTTTTATCTGAATATGTTTAAAAGTCATAAAGATTATTGTATAACCTAAAACTACGATATCGTCCTTTCTCACTCAAGGCCACGCTAATCATTAGTCTATAGGTTTCTCTGTCTACGACTGTAAAGCACCCGAAACGTCAAGATAATAAAAATAAGTTAAAGTACGAGGGGTGATCCAAAAGTAATGATAATGAAAGTATTACACGGTAATTAAAGTTAAAATATAAATTTATTTTTCTACATAGTCTCCTAACAAATCAATACATTTAATCCATCTTTTTTTCTAAACCCAGGATTCCCTTTGAAAAAAATTATTTGTCTTGACCCTCCCAAAACACTTCAACAGCGGCCATTAATTCGCTATCGTCTTTGAATTTCTTGCCTCGGAGGCGTTCCTTGAGCCGAAAAAAGAGGTAGAAGTCACTAGGAGCTAGATCTGGCGAATAGGGAGGGTGTTCGAGCAGTTCGAATCCCGTTTCTTGAATGGCAGCCATCGCAACTCCGGCTTTGTGAGCCGGTGCGTTGTCTTGGTGAAACAGCACTCCAGCTCGCAGTTTGCCGCGTCTTTTTTCCTTAATGGCCTCCCGTAATCTTATGTGGTCTGCGTAGTAAGAGCCCGTAATAGTGGCTCCGTTTTCCAAATATTCCACCATAATTATGCCTTGAGCGTCCCAAAAACAGATACCTTTCCCGCCGAACTTGAAACTTTGAATTTCTTTGGCGTCGGTGAGGAGAAAATGGTGGATCCAGGTCTCGTCCATAGTCACAAAACGGAACAAAAAATTTTCTTGACCTGCTTGGAACTTTTCGAGATTGACCCTCGAAATGTCAACTCGATTTTTCTTTTGCTTCATATGCAACTCGTTTGCAAGTATTCTTTGAACGCTGTCATATGAGATCCCTGTGACCTCAGCTACATGCCTGAGGCAGATGGAAGAGTGACCAACTCTTCCATCTGCCAACACAACATCTTCGACTTTTTTCACGTTGTCTTCAGTGAGGGACGTGGATGGGCGTCCTTCGTGAGCTAGTGATGTTCTCCCAGTTTAAACTCCTTGGCCCAGCGTGCAACTGTAGAATATGGAGGAGCAGAGTCCCCCAATGTTTCCACTAAGTCTCTGTGTATGTCTTTTGAAAACATTTTTTTAAACAGAGGTACTTGATGACAGCTCTAATTTCGTTTTTCTCCATGTTGATGTTATCTCTTTGACAGTTCGTATTCAAATGAATGTGTCTCCCGGAAATCGAGATCTATTTATATGATTTTTTTAGGCTGACGTAGTGAGTATATAAGCAAGCAAAAAATATTATTTTTGGATTTTTATGCGGACCTGAAGTAACCGATTATCATTACTTTTGGATCACCTCTCGTAGTATGTAATTAAACGCGATAAAATCCGTAAATAATAGTCATATTCAATGTGTAGTGTTCGCATAAATTTAAGAAATCATTATTCCTGGGACTGTCAAAAATTCCCGTGATCCGGGACATGCTCATTCACTCTCGTGCCTGTTCATCTGACAGCTCTACGTAGAAGATACTTAAGGTAATCGCAAAAGTACTAGTCCGGTCGTTATTGCATCGAACTCGCAACATGACGGTCCGCACAAGTACGACAAAGGACAAAAGTAAGCAGCGAACGCGTCTACAACACAGAGAACTTAGTCAAGTTATGCAGGGCCGGAGGACGTTTTAAAAATACTAAATTATTAATGAAAAGATGTTTAATCGCTACAAGAATTGGCTTAAGACTAACTTAAAATTTTATTGTTAAAACAAAAGTGCATGAAGAGTCCACACAGGAGCTCGGCAGTTTCTCATCATATTAAGCATTTCCTATTGTCTGCAATCAGAATATTCTGCTGATGTGAACATCTTGGTGGGTCTCGCCACCCATAACAACTTACGGATCGTAAATAAAACGTGCTTTGTGCCGCATTTTGTCAACAACGGTCACTTGGTGTATGTGGGGGATGTGGGGGAGGGGTGGTCAGCTAATACCAAAGTTTATTCTATAAAACTTTGGTATTAGCTGACCACCCCCTCTAGGCTATCAAACTAGCAAAAAATTTGTTGATACTGTGGCTCATAGAAATCTAAATCTATCCTGAGTTGCTATTGCATTGTCACCAGTAAGGAATTTTAAGCACACTTCCTATATCTTCCATTATCTATTTATATGTATGATTTTTAGTATAATATTTGTATAAAGGCTTTTCTTTTTAACTGTACGCCCTAAAGTACGCGCGACGCGCTCACAATAAAATTAAACGTATGAAGTTGTTTGTGTGTTCACGTCACAGAAATCTAAATAATAAGGCAATAGAAGTCGCAAAAGTGCTTGACCACACTTTTGCGACTTCTATTGTGTTGCTTGACGTAGGCCACAAGCGTGCAGAGAGCGTTTGTTTCGGTCACCAGTGTTATTTCGGACACAGACGTAAAAATGGAGTTTTGAAGCATATCTAACTGCGGAAATTCTTCCACAACTTTAATTTATTATGTTTGGCTTACCTAATTTTACAGAAATGGGAATGAAATACGAGTTTTCGTTAAATATTTATTTATACCTCTATCTTTTTTCTTTCTAAATATTTTATATCGTTAACCTTTTATCAGCGTTTATCTGTTTGTTAGTACTTTTAAATTACTTGATAAACTTTGATGCAATTTTAATATATTCAGAAAATTACACATTGGAGGCCACAGCGCGCGAAAAGCGTTTGTTTCGGTCACTAGTTTTGTTTCGGACGCAGAGACGTATAAATGATGTTTTGAAGCATAACCAACTACGGAAATTCCTCCACAAGTCGCAAATTTTCTAATAAAGGGATAACATTTAGTAAATAAGTACGTTTTAAATAACGTTGTTTTTAATGAAATATACTTAAATAAAATTATTCAACTCCAGTACTATGATTGTCTCTGAAAATGTAATATTTTTTTTATTTATTTACACCTCCCCTTTTTTTCTTTCTAAATATTTTATGCCGTTAACTTTTTATCAGCGATTATCTGTTTGTTAGTACTTTTAAATTACTTGATAAACTTTACTGAAAACTAACAAACAACAGGAAGTCAGTTACAGATCTTGAAAACTAATAAAAATGATAAATATGTCACCCATACATAAACAAGGTGTTAGTGTAAACACCGTTATCCTTGAAACCAGTGGTTTGGTTTCACTTATAGAACGTAAATTCAATGAAAAATGGCAACATTTTTTTTAGTAAAATCTCAATTTTTTTGTTGAAAGTATGAAGTATAGATAAGTTACATCACAGGTTATGTGTACCTATTGTTTTTATGTTGAATGTTGTATAGGTAGCTAGCGCAGGCGGTGATCTTTACAGTGATTACGTCACTCGGGCGTATAGGGTATCCATGAATTTACGGCCGGTGTCGGACAGAACTTTTTAAAATTTATGAAAGAAAATAGCGTTTTTTTTTTTAAATTCATTGAATTTACGTTCTGTAAGTGAAACCAAACCACTGGTTTCAAGGATAACGGTGTTTACACTAACACCCTGTATAATTTATTTATTTGCTGTTTGTATAATGTTGTAGACATTTTATTTATACATCTGTTTATTTAACAAAGCCGTTAAATAAACAGATGTATAAATAAAAGCCGGAGCCGTGGTAGCTCAGATGGTTAACGCTCGCTGTAAATATAACAGAATGCGAGTAACCCGGGTTCGATTCCCGCCGGCACCAATGAAATTATTAATTGCAATTTTAAGTGCTGATTTACCACGTGCTCGCAGGAAAACATCGTGAGGAAACCTGCATGTCTGAGGAATAAGAAAAAAATATTTCGACGACATGTAAAGTTCGCCAACACGCATTAGGGCAGCGCAGCGGATACTTCCTTGGCCTAAAACCCTTTCATAATAGAGGGGAGGCCTGTGCCCAGCAGTGGGACGTATATAGGCTGTAACTTTTACTTTTAACTTTTATTTAACAAAATGCTATTATTCCTGGTTTCCAAAAGATCCGGATATTAAAGATAAATGGATATACTTATCCTTAACATTTTATTATATCCTCTTTTCTCAATTTATAAAAGCGTCTATTAATGAGACACTTTCAGTAATTAGTAATATCTTAGTGTGAAATTCCTGGATGATCAACGGCACTTAGAAAGTTATCGAAACGTGCGTTGCGCTGCACTATGCACAAGTGAGAGTGAGCGCGCAATGTCATTCTCCGTTTTCCGCACACGTTAATTATTGAAACAAGTGGCTACACCTCCTGAGATTTTGTGTTTTTTTTTTAAATATTCCTTAACGCAATAACTTATAGTTTAATCTTTGTTGCATGAATGCTAGAAATATGTGTAAGCAAAATGTGTATTTATTGTTTGTCTATGCGTGTTAGCTGCGAACCGGCGACACCCGTCAAGGTATTATAAGACAGTTAATAAAAGACAGAAGGCATTTCTAGCACCTTATTATTTAGATTTCTGTGGTTCACGTCGTACTAGCGGCGGAGCGCGCGATTGATCGCGACTTCAGGTAAGATCAACAATTTAGAACTTGTATGCACAGAAACGTTCTTAATAAGTTATGGAAGGAAATAATAAATATAAATAATTAAATAAATAAAAATGTTTCATTTCAGTAAATACTTTACATTTAGTTTGTCGAGGCTCAGAAAGTAATCATTAGATACTTGTGTTGGGAGTCTCGCTCTTCCTACGTAATCATAACTTAGATTTACATCAAAAATAATTTATTCATGCAGTTCAAAAAGAAAGAAAGAAGCTTAGGAGAGGAAATTGCTGAATTATTTCCTAATATGGAGGGTGAGTATAAAAAATTAGTCATATTCATAAAATTTTTAAATATTTTTCCGACTTCAAAAAAGGTAGAGGTTTTCAATTCAGACGTTTATATATTTTTTGCGTATTATCGGGCATAACTCCGTCATATATGGACGGATTTGTACAATGATAGCAAACTAACAACACATCACACTCGCGCAAACGCCTGGCGGCCAACGTGAACACAAGCTCGCCCAAACCACCGCGCCCACTGCTGCATCCGTGTGTTTTGTCGTTTCCAGTAAAAAGGGTCTCGGGTTCTTAACGCTCACCATACGAAATACAGAAGCATTGAGCTGTTATTTTACGCCGGTATTATGTGAGAGCTTGGTGCTGCCCCGGTCGAGCCGATTAACTCGTGCTACAATCACTATAGTCAACCAAATCTAAGAAATACATTTTGACAGCTGTCAGACTTATTGCACCAAGCATGCCAACCAAAAAATGGGAACGTACAATATTAGATTCCTAAAAAAAATCGAAATCGATTATTTAGAGTTGGTAATCATTTACAGTTTGGTTTGAATAATATCAGAATAAATTAAAAACAGATAATTTAATACACAAGATTTATGTTGTATTTGTGTTGTTACTGCTTATTTCTAGAGGTACAGTTATAAAAATTTAAGATTGAAACTAGATTAAAAATAAATGTATTCAATCACTTTCAGTACAGTTCACTCAGTTGAGGTGTCATTATTTATATTAAGTATTATATGATTTTCAATAATGCAGTCAAAATTAATGTCTCTTTCAAAGTCATCCGTAATCAATTTTTTTGTTTTTTCTACCACTTTTGCCCAATCATCCTTTGTGACATGGGCACATGCTTCAACGAATATATTTTTTTATAGCATTGGGTGACAAACGAGCACACAGTCCACCTGATGGTAAGTGGATGCTATGGCCCATAGACATACATATTTATCCGCAATTAAGAACCAAAATGCAAATGCGTTGTGACATTAGAGGACTAAGATGGAATGCCTCGATTCCAGTAAAAAGGGCCTCCGGTTCTCTACACTCACCATACGAAACACAGCAGCATTACGCTGGTATTCTGTGAGAGCGTGGTCCTGCCCCGGTTGAACCGACCCATTTGTGCTGCAACTATAATATAGATGTAGCGTAGCTCTACCACGTACAAAAAGTTATTATGGAAGAAACAGTCCAAGAAGTTAAAGCTGAGTCACAAAATAAGAAGACAAACACAAAATTACGCACAGTAAGCTCTCGAAACAGAAACAGAAACTTTTTATTCAATATAAATTATGAATAATACTTATTGAAAGTCGCTTTTTTCATTTACCACTGGTACGCAAAAAAAAAACTCTGTCCTGAGAAGAACCAGCAAGAAACCCAACGAGACTATTTTTTAAAAAATAAGAGCTTGCAATCATGCGTGTTACAATTAACAACACAAAACAAATTAGAAATAGCTTGGTGGCGATCACCCTTCCCAGGGGTTATTATTATCCATAAATTCCTAAATATTAAAATAACCCTTTTTATACAAACTTAGTTTAATAAAGTTTTTTAAACTTTGTGTACTTACGTCAAATTTGTAAATTTTCTGGGATTTTGTTATAAATGCGTATACATCTCCCCAAGATTGAATTACTGACTGTGGAGTCGAGTAACTGGTACCGAAATGGCGGGATATTGAAATTATGTAGTGGTTATTTTAGCACGGCCTTAGTTTTTTTGCCTACACAAATTTACTTTGACAAAGTAAAAAAATAAACTTGTTTTATTCATGATTCATGTAATTTAAAGAATTTTGAATTAAATTGAACAAATAATACATTAAAAAAATTAATGATTCGATTATTTGAAAATTTTCACCGATTATTTGAATATTTTGCCGATCATTCGCATAACAATGAATTTTAATCATCCAAACACTATGGTAATATACATAGCGACATATCATTAAAAAGACGTCAAGGAAAAAACCTTAATGCTGGTTATCTTTTAATATTCTCATTGTTTGAAAAATTCAAATTTTAATTAGTGATAAAAAAACTATACACGATGTAATGAAATATAGGTAACTTCATAATTCTTCGGATTTACGTAAAAGGTTATTTTAAATCGTGTGAGTACGCTGGTGC